AGATTTTATTATTATAAAATTGATGAAATTTGTACGTCACAATAAAAATATCAATAATTAAGAGAAACAAAAAAAAAACTTTAAATTTTTGTTGTTTAAATTTAAAAGTTTCAATTTACTTTTCGAGTTAACACATGCAACTAATTAACAAGTTTTGTTTCTCCATGATATCAAAACTATTTCTATAAATAGAATAAGATTGTTTACTTCAAAACTTGAATAATTTATGTTATAAATAATTCTACTACGTAATTTTCAATACGAATCTTTAATTTTCGTTTAAACACAACTAGTTTTGAGTGTTTTTTTTTCTTTACGCAAATTGAATTTGTTTACTTTTAAAACTGTGCAATGTAAAATTGAAGAAGCTAAGTTCACTATGGATAAATGATAATGATGACTATGATAATAAAACTGAACGAAATTATTTATATAACTTCTAGAAGGAGGCTTTAGCCTTGAGATCTCGAGTCACGTATATACACACACGATGGTTGGATGTCTTGCAAATTGGATCATAACACCTACCAGGTCCGGCCCTGACCTCCGACGCGCGTATTTCCGTCGAAATAAACAGCGGAAACATTGTTTATTTACGTTCGATGGAATGATGGGAGCGTTTCGGCGAAGATCACAAAATTTCGAATCTTATGCAGAAAAAATGATCAATAGATTTATTTCATACAAAATTATGTAACTACATACATAATTATTACATACAATTCAATTACTTTACAATTGATTCAAATTCTGCATATTTTCAAACCTTTTCCTTCATTTTAGCTTCAATTTTTACATACAATTCAATTACTTTACAATTGATTCAAATTCTGCAAATTTCCAAACATTTTCCTTCATTTTAGCATCAATTTTTACATATAATTTAATTACTTTACAATTGATTCAAATTCTCCACATTTCCAAAGATTTTCCTGTATTTTAGCATCAATTTTTACATACAATTCAATTACTTTACAATTTATTCAAATTCTGCATATTTCCAAACCTTTTCCTTATTTTAGCTTCAATTTTACATTCAATTCAATTACTTTACAATTTATTTAAATTCTGCAAATTTCCAAACTTTTTTCTGTATTTTAGCATCAATTTTTACATACAATTCAATTACTTTACAATTTATTCAAATTCTGCATATTTTCAAACGTTTTCCTTCATTTTAGCTTCAATTTTTACATACAATTCCTTTTCCTTCATTTTAGCTTCAATTTTTACATACAATTCAATTACTTTACAATTGATTCAAATTCTGCAAATTTCCAAACGTTTTCTTTCATTTTAGCTTCAATTTTCATATACAATTCAATTGCTTTACAATTTATTCAAATTCTGCTAATTTCCAAACATTTTCGCCGAAGATCACAAAATTTCGAATCTTATGCAGAAAAAATGATCAATAGATTTATTTCATACAAAATTATGTAACCACATACATAATTATTATTTAGATAACTAGTGTATTACACAAACTAGATAATAACAAAGCAACAGGAGGAAAAAACAAATGAATGGAGCGACGAAACACGTGAAGGTTATTACTTGAGGAGGCCTTATTAGGAGTTTCGCGCTCAAAAAACAAAAGCAAAACAAAAACATTGGAGGTACACCTACTTGGATCTCGATGACCGTCGCAGGTGTGAGAGATGATTATGTCGTAAGCAAGTGAATAGTTTTGTTTTTTCTGTTGTTTTCGTTAAATCCTCGAAGGTAATGCCGATACACGCGAATTGCATTCGTAACGTTCTAAATATAGAAGACCGAACGGACGACGGGGTCTGGTTTAGCGAGTTTCGTGCATATTGTCGCGCGCCGCACCGACCCAGAATTTCCACGGGAAATCTGGTTTTTCGATCGTCGAAGAAAGGAAGGAACGAACACCTTCACCGTTGCGACCCACGCATCAACCATTAGAAATCCGCGCTGCTGGAAGGATACAAAATGTGTGTGTGTATGCACACGCGCGCGCGTTTTTTTTTTCTTCTTTTATAAGTTGTATTTTTATTGTTTACATGTGGGCGAAAGAATGCGAAAGTCGACCGGAACGGTTACGTAACGTGTAAATAAATCGGAGCGCAGATGGTCCGAAAAGAACCGTGCACATTAACAACCATCAGTTTCGAGATCGAGACGGAGAGAAGACCACCTTCGCTGTCCGAATTCAAAAATACTCGATGACGCAATTCCTTAACGCGCGCGCAAAAAAAAAAGAAATAAACAAATCCAGAAAAAGCGGATGACTTCATCGCGAAAAGCAAATCGATAAGCGATTCAACTAAATCTATTTCGAAAATAATAATTCAGTGGATCCGCAAAGGATAATGAAAAACGAAATTTGTGTTAATCGGAAAAAACAACAATCATCGCATTATTAATAAATTGAGGCTGGCGAAGATCATCTCGTTTTCCATCTCTTCTTTGGCTCCGATTCAAATCGTCTCTCACGCTCAATTATTCTCATTTCTGGCGGAATTCAATTGTTTACTTCGGAAACGCCCGAAATCTGGCCTATCCCCACGTCCACATCCTCCTCTTCCACCCAAAAGGTATCGAATTATTCCAAAATATCTTCACCATCTATTAGTTTCTCTTCATTTTTGTTGTTGTTGTTATTTTCAGTTTCAGTTTGTTGGCTCACCTCTTTCGCTCGAAGGGCACTTCCGTACAGCAAACCTATTATCTTATATGTGTATATATATATGTGTGTAAATCCTCTTTCGTCTTCACGGATCGTCTCGCGAGAGGCAACTGCTTTTGTTTGTGAGAGGTGCACCACTGCTTTTCTCGGGACGCAAAGCCAGTTTCGAATATCCGACGTTCGTGTTGGTTTAAGTGCGAGAGGCGCGCGCATCTCCATCTTAAGCAGGATTCCTGCGATTCGTCTCTATTTTTTTTTGCCCTTCCGAAGCGTCCTCATCAACAACCAGAACTTGAGTACCTGAATTACGAATTTTCGATCATCCTCTACGCTTTTCCGTTAAGGAAACACGAGAAAATCCGGTTTTTCGATGCGAACACCTATTTCTTCTTCACAGGTGTTC